CAACAACAAAAAATTTAAATTAAGAAATATGTATTTGTTCATTCAGTTGACCAAAATATATTTCTCATCTATGGTTCCTGGCTAACAGCTCCCAAAAGTCTTGGGATTTCCTGTGCAATAAGGCAATGGGAACAGTCCCCAGTCAGGGTACATACAAGAATCAACCATTATAATACTTGGTCTCTTGTTCTCAGTTCCTGAAATCATTTCAGAGCCACAAAAGTAAAATGGGTGTCTCATTATTCATAACCAGTCCCTTTCCACCACACTGGGTTTATATTAATGAGGTGGTTTTTAGAAAGCAGGTAAGAATGAGAGCTGGTTGCCAAGGAAACCAACTATGAATAGAGGGCTGGGACTTTCAGTTCCACTCCCTGATTTCCAGGAAGGGGACTGGAGGTTGGTTCAGAGAGTTCCTGGGTTGGTAAACAGATGGGGATTTGGGGAGAGTGGCACACCTGGAGAGGGCATGGAAGCTCCATACCCTTTCCCCATACCTGCCCTATGCATCTCATCCATCGGGCGATTCCTGAGTTATATCTTTTTATAACAAACCACGGATCCAGTAAGTAACATGTTTCTGTGAGTTATGTGAGTCACTCTAGCAAATTCATCAAGCCCAGGAGGGGAGTAAACAAAACCTCTGATCTATAGTGGTTGGTCAGAAACACAGGTGACAACATGAACCTGCAGCTGGCATCCAAAGTGCTGGGACAGGGGAAGCAAGTTTTGCGAGACTGAATCCTTAGCCTGTGGAATCCAATGTGAGAATTGAGTTGAACTATAGGACATCCAGCTGTCATCAGAGCATTGCTTAATGGTGGTCAAAACCACACATACTCATGTTGAAATTGGGTGGTAGAATCATTTTCTTCGATGACAACAAAGATTACTAATGCTACAGGAACTGACAGTCAAAATACAGGAAAGCTCCAGTTTCCAAAACAATGGAACAAGTCAGAAGCCAAGACTGGGTAGGAGACAAAGGAATGTTGACAAAATCAAACAGTTTGTTCCTTAAAATCTGTGATGCAGAAGAAAGCACGTGAAGGATCCAAGTGCGGCAAAGGTTCTAGATGACACGACACATTTGACTGGGAGGAGGGGGAGCTGGGCTACCTCACATATAACTAGAGACAGAAAACAGGAAAAATTCTGGTAGAGCCCAGGAGAAAATAGGAACAAGAGTAAAATGAATGGCTGGAGGAGGTAACCACACTCAGGACATTGTTCAACTGATTTTCCTGGGCACCTACCATCTGCAAGGCCCTGAAGCTCTCCTCCCAAAGATTTCAAACTAATTAAAGACTGACAGGTAAATAATGGGCCAACCAAAATGGGGCTGGATGGTACAAGCCAGATGCTGCCAGAGCAGGAGTAGATGGCTGAGTTTGGTGGGACAATATGGAAAGATTTCACAAAGGAGGACCCATCTGAGCTACAACCCCACAGAAGAGAGGTAGAGTGGAGAAATTCAGGGCTGAGGAAATAGCTTGAGCAGAACCTCAAGCGAAAGAAGCAACGAGTAGCCCTGCAGGACTGCAGCCCAGAAATGTAGTCAGGGTCCTTTCACAGAAATAACCTTAATCCCAGACCTTGGAGTCTAGCCATCAGTGAAATGTTAACAAGTGGACAGACATGAGCCTCTCTGTACTGTGGCAGCAGTGTGTTGATTCCTCTTTAAATTCATGGGCACACATCTTTAGAGAAAATGTTTCTTACTCCTAAGAAGAGACCACAAAACCAAGCTGGCTGTCTTCTTCCTCTGCCTGTGGTGAGTTCTGATATGGTACCTCCAATTGAGGCAGCCACCAGACTCCAGCCTGGGAGGGCAGAGTGGAGAGAAGAAAGGAACAAGGTATTTGAGGACATGAACATCCCATTGAAGGGGCCTCTCACTGTCAGAGAGAGTTCAAAATTCCTTCCTTTTCACCTACATTCTCCTCCAACTACTGCCCAACACTCAGAAGAGTTGTTTCTACTCCCTCGCCTTCCATTCCCTCTTCAATTTACTTCTGTCCCCATCCCTCTACTGAAGCTACTCCCATCAAGTGCCCATAATGGCCTCCATGTCACCAAATCCTATGAGCTCTTTCTGTCTCTATTCAGTTTCTCAACAGTTGATCCCTGCCTTCTTGAAACACTCTTCTCTCAGCTTCTGGAAGCCTCTGCTGAAACTCACCCCTGGAGTTCTAAGAAGCCACGCAAGAAACCCATCAAACTTGAGACGGCCACAAGGGGAAGAAGCCGGCCCACATGGAGAAACCACATGGACACACTCTGATCAACACAGCTAACCCTCAAGTCAAAGTGTTCCCCATGTAAGTAAAAGAGCCTTTGAGTGATTCCAACCCTCAGCTATCAAGTCACCTTCAGATTTTGAGTCTTCAGACATTATGGGGCAGAGTCAAGTGCCCACTGTGCCTGTTGGACTCCCTGGCCTACACACGGGCATAATAAAATGTTGGTTGGTTGGGGGTAATTGCTACATAGCAGTAATAGCCAGAATAGGACACAAGACTATCCCTTTCTGTTCCTTCATTCCTGCCTTTTTGAAATCCTCTCTGCCTTTTGAGCGTTTTCCTGGTGGGTGGAAGAAAGCAGAGCATTCAGCCAGTAGACATAAGAATCTTTTGAGAAAAAGCTGAATTCAGCGTCTTCTAACCAAGCTTTACAGAGCTCCTCCTGGCAGGGGGAAACCAGCCCCTTACCTAGTCTGGTCTGGTCACCCACTCCAGTTCCAGGTTCAGAGATGCTACACCACCCCCATTCCACCTCCCAATAAGCCATCTCTGAGGGAAAAAAGTAAGGCTCTAAAAGTACTGTCAACATAATCATTGTGTAAGATCAATGGATAGAAAACAGGCTGGCATTTCTCACTGGCCGCGGTCCAGTTCCGTCATTGGCTCATCTCCCTCCAGTGGCTGTGTTTTGCAGACCACTCATGTCCCCTTCCCACAGCTCTTTCAGGGCCCCACCCACACTGCTATAAATAGCATCAGCCTCAGCTGTTTCACAGTGCTCCACTCATACAGTTCTCCTAGCCTCTCCCCATCATCAGCACTTGTCCCCTCCTACTTGAGGGATGGCCCCAGAATACAAGTATTTAATTCAAATCCTGTTTTGTAGCTTTTGGCCCACAACGATGGGACTTGCTGTTCCGTTTTTCCTAGGATAGTGCTGGTTTATGCCCCTTGACCTGGCTTAAGTTTGGGGCCCCTTTCACTCTCAAAAGCAGCCTAATTTGGATAATAATTTATATGGTCCCCCTAACCCTTCCACCTGTCCTTCTATTACTTCATCCCTTGCCATCTTTTACATGAGACAATCCTCTAATTTCTTAGCGGGAGTAATGAGCAAGAATATAGCATTCTGCAATGTGCAGAGTGGACTCGTTCGATGGAGTGCATTTTTCTTATTGGTGAACATCATGTTCTAAATCGTCTCTGGGGCATATAACAAGGAGCAGGAACTGAGTGACTGAAGGAACTGGTGATGGCTAGAGTCCTTCCTAGGCCTCAAATGTCAGTGCTTTATATGGAAATTTATTACTATTGGGTTCAACCCAGGGTAGCCAAATTTGTTCTTCTCAGAAATTTCTGGTGACCAGAGTTCCAGAAATTGCTTTCTCATTCCCGAAGGTTCCATTTTCTCGAGTATTCCGTTATGTAAGCGGGGAGTTAGGGCTTTGGACCGAATTTCTCTTTAAGATGATTTTTGCAGTCAGTGAGCCGCGGCAGGGGGTGATGACACCAGGACAAGTGCCGGCCTGACATAAATGTTTAAACGGGTCTCCACGCGTTTCCCCCCTCGGTTCCCTGGGCCTGCCCCGAGAGCGGCACCTTTTCAGGAAAGCGGGGGGCGGGCCCCCAGTGCGCCGGGTGCGAGCGGGCGCGGCGATTGGTCGGCCGCGGCGCCGCCCCCGCCGGACAGCTCCTCCGCCTCGCCCGCCCGCCGTCCCGCCCGCCGTCCCCGCCAGTCGCTGACAGGCGCAGCGCCGGAGCCTCTCCGAGCCGGCAGGTAAGCAGCCTCGTCCCCTTTCCTGTCCCAGCGGGACGGGGCTGGGTCCTGAGAACCGGGGTGCGCGGGCGCCGCGGGGTCCGAGGGGCGAGCCCCGCGCCCGGGGCGACCTCGGCCGTGGCAAGGGAAGGGACGGGGGCTTGAGGACGGCGGGGCCTCGGGCCGCGGTGTTTTCGATGACGCAGCTGGGTTGTGCCCTTCTGCCTAGGAAAGCTCCTTTATTCCGAATGGGGGCGGCGGGTGGGGGCGCTGGCCGAGGGGATGGAGGTGGTACCGAGGTGCCTAGCGACCCCCACACAGACACACGTGTCCACGGCGGGAGCGGGATGGCGAGTCTCCTGGCTAGGGGGCTGCGGGTCGGGGAGAGTGGGGGCGACCACCCCGCGCCAAGGCGGCCTGGGAACCCGAGGCTCCGCTGGGCACGGGGCGAGGAGAACCAGGGAGACGCGCTGGGGTTCTCGGGGCTCCTGGCTCCGCGCCAGCTGGTCGCCCCTAGGCCAGGCCCTGCCCTTCCAGATGCCCTGGGGTTCGCGGGGTGGGGGAGGGGCGCTCGCCTGCGGCCTGGGCGGGGGAGAAGTCGGGGCGCTTGGGGGGCCCCTCGCCACCGCCCAGCTCGTCCCGAGAGGCGGCCCCTGGGGAGGCCCCTGGGCTTCTGGCAGCCACTGGACGACAGGCGCGGGCCTCAGGCCTCGGTGGGGAGGGTCTCGGGCGGCCCTGCTCTCCATTCGTTCAGGCCCTGGGGACCGAGGGTCCCCTGCGCCCCTAGGGGGAGAGAACTCGGGCCACCTGTGCGGGCCTCCACGTTTGTTCATTCCACAGTGGGGAGAAAGCTCATTTCTGCTCCTTTTTTGTTGTTTGTTCCGTTTACTCTTCGCGGCAGCTATAGCCAAGAGAGTTTTTTCATCGGAACCCACCGCCATCACATCCACCCTCACCATCTCAAAGCCACTGCTTTCTGTTTGTCATTGTCTCATCTCCAGCTTCATCCTCAGCAGAAGGCAGCTCCACCGCCTGGGCACGGTTACCCCTGTACTCAGAGCATCACGGTTTAACGCCCAGCTCTCCACGTGGTGAGCCTCTGAGATGGCCCCCTTTCCTTGCCTGAAAAATCCAGGTGGCATAGGATGAACGATTTTTACAAATCAAATTATCAGAAAAAGTGGGAGTAGAAAATTGAATTTAAAATGTCGGACTTCTGGAAAAATTAACAACACGTGTTGCTCAGATTTGAAGAAAAAGAAAAAATAAGTGAAAAGGAACATTTTCACCCACACAAACAGTGAGGAGCTCTTATAATGAAAAAGAACTAACTAGAAAGGGACAGAAAGCAGAGCTAGGATGTGATATTATTTGTACCTGACACAAGTTTTTCATACTTGTGAAAGGAAAATGTCAAGATTATAATAGATAAATGGTGAAATGATGAATCATTTACAGAAGAAAATACAAATTAAAGTAAGTCTGTATTATTTTACATCTGCTAACAACAGTAACAGCAACCGCTGAAATGTTCATATCTCAGTTATCTGGAGAGGTGACTGGGCTTCGGGGTTAGAAAGGTAGCTCTGCAACGAACTTCATGACTTCGGACTAGTGACCTAATTCTTTTGTCCCTTCATAGAATAGAGTAAATGATACCTACTTCCAGGGTTTGTTAAAGATTAACTTTAATCATCTATGTAAAATGGACCATAGGTGTATAGATATATCTTTATTCTTTTCGTAGACATTGTGAATTAGTACAAACTTTTTGTAAAGCAATCAGGCCATCATTAAGAAGTTAAAAGGCATGACCCAGAAATCCTATTCCTGGGAATTTACTTGCAGTGGAAAAACCAAACAGGAAAATAAAATAAAAAGCACATATTTGGGGCAGAATGACCTAAAATTAGAACCTACTGGGAAACAACCTAAATGTGTAACAACACCTCTGGCCGGTTTGGCTCAGCGGTTAGAGCGTCGGCCTGCGGTCCCCAGAGACCCTGATTAGGTTCCCACTAAAGGCACATACCTCAGTTGCAGTTTGTCCCCAGCCCTGGTTGGGTTGTGCAGGTGGCAACTACTTGATGTGTCCCTTTCACATCGATGTTTCTCTCTCTCTCTCTCTCTCTCCCTCCCACTCTATCTGAACAAAATATCAAAAACTGTACTCAGGTGAGGATAAAAAAAAATAATAATAAATGTGTAACAACAGAGATAGTTAAGAAATCATGGTATGTTAATTGGAAAGGAACTTAGGTGATCATGGACAGTCATGATTTAGAGCCTGTGGTACATAGGAAGAAACTGACATATCCAAGTGCAGGTTACTAAACAATCTACTTACTCATAATGAATGCATCTGTGGAAAATCTGAAAGGAAAAGAGAAAGAAACATCGATGAGAGAACATCAATTGGCCACCTCCTGCATGTCTCCCTCTAGGGATCTGGCCCACAACCTGGGCATGTGCCCTGTCCGGGAATTGAACCCTCGACCTCTTAGTGCATGAGTTGACGCTCAACCACTGAGCCACACCGGCCAGATGTAAACACAAAGTTTTAATAGAAATTATAGGTGATTTTAACTTTCCTTTTGTTGATATATTGCTTTTCTAAATGATGTCATTTTAAAAATGAAATGGACTCAAGTTCTCTATGAGTGAGAGAGCGAGCTCAGTGTTGTGTTTGCTTTTTTAGCTGCCCTCATTTCTTTTTTTCACATATATTCTCTTTTTTTTTCTGGAACAGATTTATTAGTGGCTTCAAAACTTATATATTAAGCTTTTCATTTAAGGAATTATATCTTAGGTTTACTTATCAATTCTAGTTTTTTCTTTTTGCTTTTAAGGTATCTGGAATATATTTGAAAACTGAACAGTTTCCACCAAGCCAAAGCATTGTCTTCCTGGAGGCACGAATCCAGCTTTGCTGAGCCACGACAGATGTATGTACCCTGTGGAATTTCTTTGGTCTTGTGATGGTTGAAAGTCCCCAGTTGTCTCAAAAATAAGGGTCTGGAAAAGCTGTGATTACAAACCCCTGCTCTGGAGGCCTTGTATGTGTACCTCACATCTATTTTATCATCCTTTCTTGTAAAATTATATTGATTTTGCAGAGAAAGGGTCACAGTTTTCTCTAGAATCATGCTGAATTATAAAAGGAGGCAATCAATTTAAATAATAAAACAATAATGCAGTCAATTTAAATAATAAAACAATAATGTAAACATTTCTGCACCAAAATAACACTGAAGGTGACTATCAACCAAGTGACAAAAGGTTTTACGAAGGGAAAGTTTTGCTAAGCTGTAGTTTTAACTTACCTATTCCATTCTTCTTTTTCGGATCTTATTTCTTCTTCCAAGGCAACTATATCAGCTGTGAACTGCCGCATATTAAACATTCAGAATGTGCCTGTGTCTAATGAGGTGTCGGCTACAGCATTATAAAGTTATTCTTGAGAAAATAGTGTGTGTAGTTCTTAAGTGGAAGAATTTTTTTCTTAATTTGTTCCTCTTCTTCTGGTATTCTACTCATTACTGTCATAGTATTGTGTGATCACATCAAGGGAGGTGTGTCCTTTTAAGAAAAGTATTATAATATTGTTAAGTGTTGGGCCTCTGAGGACCTAGCTCTGAAGCCAGGCTAGGAGTGCAGCTCCCTGGGAAATTTTATTATACATTCCCAGATCCCATCACTAGACACTCCCAGGCTGCTGGCCTGGGACAGGCTCCAGCAATATTGCTTTTTAAAAGGCCTTCGAGTAATTCTGAGATGGATCAGGTTGGGGGCCCTTTGTCCTGTTCAGTCCAGAACTGGGCCTCAGAGTAGCAGTGAAAACCCATCACCCCAAAATGTTTTGCAAAATTTGGTATACCTTGCAACAGATTCTGTAAAGGGCAGTGACCTCAAAAAAATTAAAATACAATAGTCTCCTCTTATCCATGGTTTTGCTTTCTGCAGTTTCAGCTACCTGTGGTCAACCTCAGTCTGAAAATATTAAATGGAAAATTCCAGAAATAAGCAATTTATGAGTTTTAAATTGAATACCATTCTGAGCACCTCACTTTATCTTATTACATAGGCATTGTATCATCTCACATCATGAAGGGTGATATTTTGAGACAAGAGAGAGATCACATTCACATAACTTTTATTATAATATATTGTTATAATTGTTCTATTTTATTGTCAGCTGTTATTAATCTCTTACTTTGCCTAATTTTTAAATTAAACTTTACCATAGGTGTGTATGTATTAAAAAAAAGAGAGAGAGAGTGTATATATAGGATTAGATACTATCCATGATTTCAGGCATCCATTAGGGGGTTTTGGAATGTATATCCCACAGATAAGGAGGGACTACTGTATGACAAATAAATTCTACTTAAGCCCTGGGAAGTTTGGCTCAGTGGTTAAAGTATTAGCTCCGGGACTGAAGGGTGGAGGGTTTGATTCCTGGTCAAGGGCATGTACCTGGATTGCAGCCCCATGTGGGAGGCAACCAATTGATGTGTCTCTCTCACATGAATGTTTCTTTCTTTTCCTCCCTCCCTTCCACTCTATCTAAAAATCAATGGAAAAAATATCCTCAGGTGAAGATTAACAACAACAAAAAAAGAGTTCTACTTAGCTCAGGAAATTTCCTCAAGGCGGTGGGGAATGGTGGGGGTTGTTTGGTGCACCTTCCCAATTTCCCTAATGAAGTTTCAAGATGTAACATGTTCTGAGTATCAGAACGTTGGCCCCTGGCATACAACCATTGGGCAAGTTTCTACCAGTTCTTACTCAGTCTCCATGTATACATGGGAATAGGATGACTGGGGTAATCTATGGATCTTTTTTGGTACCTTCTGTAGTTCCACTGCTCTTTCTACTCATGTGTCAGTGCCACGTGATCTTATTTATTGTAGCTTTAAAATGCATTCTAACACCTGGCAGACCAAGTGTGCCCCCTTGTTCAATAGTTTCTTCAGTCTTTAATATTGGTTTACCCAAAGACTATTTATGTCTTTCTCTTTTTTCCAGTCTTCCTTTATGTCTCTAATTAAAATTGATTGCATTCTTCATATAAGTACAATTTATTAGATTAACTCCTAGATATTTTTTATTTTTTTATTGCCATTATGAGTGGAATTTTTTTCCATTCTAAATCTTCTAATTCCAATTAATTTGGAGACTGTTTTGTTACATATTTATCTCAAAAACTGCCACCCTAATGAACTCACTTATGTAATTTGAGATGTTTTGGGTTGATTTTCCAGGTAGAAAAATCTTACCTGGTTGGAACTTCCATAACAATCTGTAAAAACAGTGATTGCTTGCATTCTTGTCTTGTTCGCTACATTGATGAGAATGCCTTTACTTTTTTAATTAAGATAAGGTGTGGACTATATGTTTGTGGTAGTGATTCTTGATAATGGAAAGGGACTATCTTCTAGTTCGGTAGAAACTATTTTAACAGCTTCAGCTTAAAAAATCAGCCTGGCCAGTGTGGCTCAGTGGGTTGAACATGATCCCATGAACTAAGACGTCCCAGTTCAATTCTCAGTCTGGCACATGCCCGAGTTGCAGGCTCGATCCCTAGTAGGGGGTGTGCAGGAAGTGGCCAATCGATGTTTCTCTCTCTCATCGAGGTTTCGATCTCTCTCTCTCCCTTAAAAAAAATCAATAAAAAGATATCTTTTAAAAATCAGGAATGGATATTGATTTTAATTGAAAACTGTTCAACATCTGCAAAGAATCTTATTTTTCTCCCCTAACCTATTAATAGATTTCCTGATTTTGAGCCATCCTTAAATAAGCCTCGTTGGTCACAGGGTAGTCTTCTTTTACTAAAATGCTAAAATCAATTTGGTGGTATTTTGTTGTGGGTTTTGGCACTCATGTTGCTGGAGACTGGGTGACTGAGAGCGAAAGCCACTCCACATACTGGGGTTTGAGTTTTGACCTTTAGCCCTTTGTCTATTAAAACGACTTCTCAGGTGGAGATGCCCAAATGCTTATCTCTACTAAGTTCCAGATTCTTTTAACAATTGCCTAATTGATATTTCTACTTAAATGTCTCAGAGATGGAGCCCTCCACTAGTTTCCCCTAATTCGGTAGATGGCATTGCCACCATCGGCCTGGTCACAAATGCCACAAACCCACTCTTCCATCCACTCCATCAGCAAGTCTTAACTGGTGAGAAATGTGTCTCCTTTGTTCGTAGCTCCTCAGCAGCAGCATCACCATCTCAGACCACACTGCCATCTTCCTTCAATTATTTCCTAACTGATCTCACAATTGCTTTTCTTGTCTCCTAAATTTCCTACTTTACACAACAAACATGGTGATCTGTTTTAAAAATAGCCCTATTACTCTCCTAAGGCCCTTAAATGGTTCCCCCACCGCATTCAGAATGAAATTAAAACTTTCTGGCACCTGAGGCCCAGGTGAGCTGCCCCTCACCCAATTCAATCTTATTGGGCCACCTGCCCTTTGTCTCATCATCTCCAGATACATCTCCTTTTTGGTCCTTGAACCCACTCAGCTAAATATCTTATGCACCATTCTGTCCTCAGCTCCTAGCACAATGCTAGAACTTTAGAAAAACACTTATAAGACATTTATTGAAAGAATCAATAAGTAATCATATATAATGTTTGACATTTTTCCTATGGTTATTGATCAATTCAAGTTTTCTATTTCTCTAAACACTGGCACATATTAGTTATTCCATAAATATCTGTTGAATGAGTTAATTTTAAAGTCAATATTTGTCATTTATATTTTAAAAGAAAGGCAATCCATCTCACATAGATCATTAATTTATAAAACAAAGTTGTATATAGTAAGTTGTCACCCTTTTGCAACCTTTTGTTCCTAAGGGAATCAACATGGAGCTGTTGTGTTTTCTAGTGGTGTGTGTTTGCGTGTATATTAGATTTTTAAATACTGGATTTATTTAGACACTCCATATTTTTCTGAGTTTTATTTCTTAAATTCTGTTTTCATCTCTATTATTTCTTTCTTTATTTTGAAATTTTCTTTTCTTTTTGTTTTATCTCAATAATCATTTACTTATTTTCATTCTTTCTAGTCAATCACCCACACTCCTTTGATAATCATGTGGGTTCCTATATTCTCACATCCCTGCCCTCTCTTTCTTTTTTATTTTTTATTTTGGCTAGCCTGATAAGTGTAAGTGATGTATTATTATTTCTTTTATCATTTTATCTGATTCTTAATTTTAAAAAAAATATCTTATCATACCCTCTGGGTTTCTGTCTTTGGTAAATTATCATTTTGTATCTTTTGGCCATTTTTCTACTGGAATTTCTGTCATTGCTTTGCAAGAATTCCTTGTCAGTTCTAGAAATAAATTTCTTGTTGGTTTTAAATACTACACATATTTTTTACCACTGTGTACTCTTTCTGTTAACTTTGTCCATAGTGTTCTTCATAACACTGAACAAGAATTCTTAATTTATAGATAGTAAACTTCTTCAGTTATTTGCCTCAAGGTCTGTGCTTTTTGTTTAAAAAGTCCTTCCCTTACTCTTCCAGGTCACAAAGACATTCTCCTGTATTTTCTTCTCTAACTTACTTCTACCTGTCATAGGCAGTCCATCCAGAGTCCACTTTTACCTGCAGTGTTAGGAGTCCAGTTTAAATTTTCTCTAGTTCCCTGGAAGCATCTACTAAACAAACCTTCCTTTCTCCATTGATTTGTGGTGTTCATTTATTGTAATCAAGTTCCCACTAAAGTATCTATACATAGGTTTATCTCTGAACTTGCTGGTCTGCTCTTTTTGGTCTGTTGGTCTGTTCTCAAGGCCATGGAAAACTTTCCATTCTTACTGATCATCTTCTATGTTCTTTTATTAGAGTTATAAAAAAATTTCACCAGTTTGGCTTAGCGGTTAGAGCATTGGGCCGCAGACCAAAGAGTCGCAGTTTCAA